TCAAAGGGACTAATTGCTTTAAATTTTTTTCTTAATTCACCAGTTGAATTTGTATCAGAAAAATCAAGTCGGATTATTATCGAAATCATCAAATTTTGAATAAATACCAAACCTCAATACAAGTCAAACCTAATATTTATCTCTGTCTTAGATACTCTTCTCGTATTAGTTTGTCACCGTTTTCACCATACTATTTTCACCTTTTGTTCATAATTTTCCAAGTATATTTATCAGAAATAACTGTTTGCTCAACAAATATTTTTTCAGTGGGACTAATGTATTTTTTATTTGGTATTCGACATTATCTTCCTCTGGATTATCTTAGAGTTCTGCTACTAAGGCCTCAACCGATCTTTTTTTTTGCTTTTGATAATAATTTGTGATTTCGACGAATAAGCAAGTCAACGATAACACCTACATTTCTTATAATTTCCAAGTTGACTTTCGTTATTCTCTGATTAGTTATTTTCATTTTTATTTTGCCATTTTGTTGTATACTCTCGGGGTCATCATTGTTATTGTGTAAACCGATTTGTTGTATCGTATTTCTGACTTCTTAGAATATGAAAGCTTTTTAATCCGTTACTGCGATGTTGGGAAAATTATGATTTTACAAGCTGTAGTTACATCTGGCAAGCAGCTATCAGATACAGAGAAAGGAGGGGGAGTTAGTTCAAGTCTCTAATCAGTTAAAAAGGAGAGCACTTTCGGTTCATTTTTCGAAGTCGCTCACCTTTATCATCATCGAACTGTCCGTAAGCAGTAATTGACGGTAGTGACATTGAACGCGTCTATTTTGTCACTATCATCTATTGCTGTTAGGAAGTTATGATCATATAACTCAGTAATTAATTTATATTTATTAGTTACAACAATTTAGTCTACTGTGCACACTATAAGTCATCGATTAAATACTACTACTGTTAATACTCAGTTCAATTTACTCAACTTTGAGCATTAATCAGTATAAGTACAACATATAAAACGCAGTGTATTCAGACAGTTTCAATCTACTTTTGGCGAACAATAAATCTTACTCTATCATCCATCGCCTTCATCTTCTTTTTTGTATTGTGTTATATCAACGTTTGTCCACTCATAATAAACAGGTAGTGAGTAACCAATTTTCTCGCGGTTATAACAATTATGCTACAGTCGCATTGACTGTAGCATTATAGAAGTTTTTTGTTTCTTATTTCATATATTGTTCTTGAATATTCAAGTAATGAAGAAAATTCATAGTTTTTCACAGTGTTACATTCTTTCATATGAATAGTTTACTCGAGAGGCTTTCATTGTAATTCTGGATAGCCTACTTCATGTAGAATCGTGATATCTATTACAGTTTAGATTAATATTTCCGTTATTCCAGTAGTTCACATTGAAATAATAAAACGCAAACATGATGTTTGTTTTTTCATTTATATCATTTCATATTTTACGTGAAAATATGTACATGTTTAAATATATTATCGTAATTCTACCGAAAACGTGTTTGAGATTATTTTTATTTGTGTATTTATTCATAAAATTAAGTTAGTGAATTTTCATTTTGTGTTTTTCTTTAGTTAAAATATTTAATCAGAAGTATTAGATAGTTAAAATAACATTTCTTTACAGACATACGCTAACTGGAAAACAGTTTCATATCAAAAATGGTAATCTACTGTAGTGAAGTTTTAACGCTTATCAGAGTGTAAAATGATATTTTTTTAAAATATGTTGGAAAAATTGAAATAACGACTGTTAGCTTTCGTACCAACCATGTTATCATTCTACTGACATATTCACATACAGCGTAGGATAAACATTCGTACTAATTTTATTTGATTAACTCATAGTCACTACCAACACTATGTTTCATGATATATGTTGTGTATACCCAACTACTGTCTAATTCGACGGACGATGTTGTCTGATGTAAAAATAGGCTGAAAGAAAGCAGAAGATGGACAGTCCACCAGTTCAGGAAGACATTGACAATTAATTTGAACTATGTTAATAGATGTAGACTGTCTGATTGGAGTTCGTGTGATCATCTTAACCAATGGTTGAAGACATTGAATGACATATCTTAGAAGTGTTCATGATGGCTCAGATGCATTCGCCATTTGTCTTCGCTTAGAACCTTAATCCTGAAATCTTCCCATACCTTTTCTTTTACTATACCCAATTTTCGCTGTTATTACTACTGATACTGTTACTGTTTCCACAATTCTTGGATTTGTTTTAATAATTTCATCTCCCTGTGGTAATATCGTATGCCAACTTGAAATTATGTATATATGCATCAGGCTCTACTGTGCACATGACTTGATTGACTGACTATGTTTCAACAGTAAGTGTATCCATTCTCTCACTGTCTTAATGATATTTTTTGATGATGCGATATCTAATCTATTTAAAACAAAAAATACAGTTACTCAGTATTTTTTTTTACCTCAGTTACACTAATTCTTTTTTTATATTATACCATACATGATAATGATGAAAAATATATTTTTAAAATAGATCGATCTGTCTGAGAACTAGTTAAATGGATAATATTGTCGATGATTTACGTCATTCCGTAACAAACAATAAATTTAATAATTGATTCTAAAGACAAATCTTAATTAATTAGATGAGTGAATAGTTTTGGAGTTTCAGATTATTCAAAATGTGAAATTGATTGAAAAATAATTTTAAATTACTTGGATATTACATAACCTTCACTTTCTCACATGTTGCTGTTAGAACACTAAAACAGAAATAGAATCCACTTGAACTGAAATCTAGAGTTTATCACTTTCTTAACTTAGTATGGTTGAAAGGCTCAGGAACGTTTGGTTTACTTTAATATCTTAACTAGCTATAAAGTACAAGACAAATACTTCTTTCTTATCCAGTTAGCCTTCGTTATTTGCATCAATAACTTTCGGTGATTTCTAATCCAAGCACTTTTCTTCAAATAGTTTTTACAATGAAAATATTTGGGTAAAAGTGTGTTTTATTGACGATTGATTAACTCAATGCACACTTAATCCTTGAATATTATCTTACTTTTATCAAAAATGAGTCAGTCAGCTAAAAAATGGCGCAAGAATCTGGTACAAATAGGCAACTCTTCAAATTCATAAGTCCTAACAACACGACGACATGAATTTATCACGATGAATATCGGACTAACATTAAAAGTAACATTAAAAAAGTGCTTTGATATAGAGATGCAAGAAATAATTCACAAAATAAAAGGTATAAAATAATTTTGAAGCTCAGGATCTACATGTAGACAAAGAGTGAATGTCTCTGCACTCCTGCAACTGATTCCGGATCACATCTTTAAAGATTTTTAACTACTAATAGTTGTTATCGCACCGACTCCAACCACATGGTCTATGCCTACCAACGTCATTTATGAAATTTTATACGACTTTCATTTATTTATTAGGTAACTTTCAAAGGTCTTGAGTTTCAAACGAAATTCTACTTAGATTGGTTCATGATTTAAATAAAATTCAACAATCTCCATACTCCTATACTGAAAATAATTTAAGTATATCAGTAGGTAAAATGTAAATTATGAATTTCTATTACTCTATTCTACTGCAGATTTCATCACAAATAAAAATGAAACTGTTTCAAAATTAAATTTTCTTATTGATTTATATTTATATTCCTCATTGTAACAAACCGTAAACAAAATTAAACCCTGTAATTGATAAATGATAATTTCGAGTATTTGTTTTTCTGAAAATCGTTTGTATCAAATAGAATTTACTGAGGCTAATTATTATGCTTGTACTCAAATGGTGAGTTAAGATTATATGTGAAAATGCAATGATCAGATCAGACTAAAAATGGATTATTCGCAAAGTCAAACATCAGCACACATATACTAGTGTTAATTTATTCTCATCTTGTATAATTACAAGTGTAGGTGATTTGTAGACATTATTGTTTAATGGTAGAGCTTTTTAAATTGGTTTGGTCAGTTAAATGTTAATATTGATAGATGAATACTGTTAATGATTCGTACTGAGATATCCGACACAGTAGGAAACACGATTTCTATATTCTCTTGATATCTTACCAACACTGACTCTTAAGAATTATATAATTGTAAAATACAATCTCTATAAAAAAATCACGATTCGTTATCAGAAAACTCTGCGAGTTAGGTAAACAGTAAGCGCACGTATCAATGCTTTTCAAAAGAACTTATCAGCTGATTGACTAAAGTGGCATACAACAATACAGATGGACGGTGTAAACACATTTGATGTTCGTTTGCCTCTTCTTAATACTCAGGACATGTTATTTCCATTACAAATTATGAGGAAAAAATGAAACCGTCCTGCTATGCTTTAATAACCATCAAACTATACGACCTAATTAGAAATTAATATGTTAGGCTACTAATCAATGAAATAAAAGTTGCATCGCCTCCCGTTTCCATTCACTTTCCTAACCAGTATAAATAATCCAATTGAATAGTTTGTCTTTAATTGAAATCATGAACCAATCTAATTTAGACTATCATTGAAAAACTGAAAGCGTCGGATAGCTGTCTGATCTCAGTATAGGACTTCTCAGCACAAAAAAGCGAACTCAAAGACCTTCGGTCTTGTGCACATATATCTATGAGATTCCGGCTAGCAAGAATACAGTTGTCTGATGACTTTACCGGACCGCTTCACTTTTTTGTCTTGTCTTATGTACAGATATTTCCAAGTTGACATTAGTTAGAGAATAATTAACATCCATGGAAAACTAATCTTAGTTTAAAATCTCTTGATGTAGTACATCGCTAAACTAACTCTTTTATGATCGGACCATCGTCCGGTACGGTTATTTTTAGACATCAGTTCTCACTTTTTATTTGACAGCTGAGTCCACTCGGCTATACTGACTGGTGAGTATTGATGTGTATTTTTTTAATATTGTTTTTTCTTTCGCGATCTTTTTCTTACTATTGTATTCTTATTTGTTTATATCCATTTTTTAAAAATCTTTTTTAGCATAGACGTTTTCTAGATTTAGGAAGACAAGAACAACATTTAGACGGATTACAACAATGTGTAAACAGTGGAAGATTAAATGAACATCGTAAATATATACAATCACAGAGAGTGGTAAAAGCGTTACAAGGTGCTACCGATTGTCGAGTGAAAAACCTTATGAAATCTGTGAATTATGATTATGACGATAGTCAAAGGAATTGTAACAAGTTAATACCTAAAAGATTGAGTGTTAGCAAAGAGAATATTGATATAAACACGGTAATTAATTTACGTAAACGTTTTATGTCAGTGAATCGATTATCATTAAACTTGTTTAAATAACATAACTGAACTTGAAGCTCTGATTTCACGTATTCAAGTAGCTAAAAACAAATTTTATAATACCTCCTAAAATTCTTATTAGTTGTATACTGCTTTAAAGTCAGTAGTAGTTAATGTATTGTATAATAAGAATCATAGCATATAACAATGAAATGAGCTTTCAATTGTTTAGGTTTATCGAAAAATAAATTAATGAAGTTTGAGGATTGATTAATCTACTGATGGGTGTTGCTTTAGTACTCATGTATGTTAACGGGTTTAAAGGCACAACTTTATAGATCCTTGCATATATAGATGACCTATAAAATTTTTTAATGGATTGTTTTAGTGATATAAAGAAATATTAATCACTAAGATATCATTAGGAAAAAATATGGCAAATTACATTCTTCGATACTTACCATATGAATTTCCTTGGGTTTTACATGTGTTTTCTTAATTACACAATATACTAATTGAGTTTCATACATTCCTATGTATTCCTCTGTTTTATGACTAACATAACGCTTATTAAGACTGAATTGATGAAAATCTATGACCATTTTTATTTCAGTATTGTCAAATATTACTTGTTTTGATTAGGTTTACTACGACCAAGTTACTCAGTATCCATTGTGTGTGCATACATTCCTCATCATTATGAACGTTCTGAGCAGTATACAAAGGTATTTCTACCTCTTGTATATGTAATATCAAATATTTTCGAGCATGTTTCCTTTCATTTAATAAATGACTGTTGCAAACAAGAGCATTATTTTCACTGGGGACTTCATCTAAAACTAGGTGCATGTGTCTTCTGTGAATACGCTACTGTAGCGCATCCCGAATTCCCGGATGAAAAAAAACAAATAAGGCGAAATTTAGAGCTTAGAATGAAATCTTCAATAAAAATTGTGTCTTTTTATGAAGCACTCATTCACCGAATTAACGGAAAAATGCTAAAGGTTGGATAAATACTAAATCCTGCGAAGCTGATGTGCTACAAATTCACGAACACGTATGTATTCCTCTGTTTTATGACTAACATAACGCTTATTAAGACTGAATTGATGAAAATCTATGACCATTTTTATTTCAGTATTGTCAAATATTACTTGTTTTGATTAGGTTTACTACGACCAAGTTACTCAGTATCCATTGTGTGTGCATACATTCCTCATCATTATGAACGTTCTGAGCAGTATACAAAGGTATTTCTACCTCTTGTATATGTAATATCAAATATTTTCGAGCATGTTTCCTTTCATTTAATAAATGACTGTTGCAAACAAGAGCATTATTTTCACTGGGGACTTCATCTAAAACTAGGTGCATGTGTCTTCTGTGAATACGCTACTGTAGCGCATCCCGAATTCCCGGATGAAAAAAAACAAATAAGGCGAAATTTAGAGCTTAGAATGAAATCTTCAATAAAAATTGTGTCTTTTTATGAAGCACTCATTCACCGAATTAACGGAAAAATGCTAAAGGTTGGATAAATACTAAATCCTGCGAAGCTGATGTGCTACAAATTCACGAACACGTATCCTATCCTCTCGTTTTATATGAATCTTGAGCAAAAACTGAAAAGTTATGAGCTCAATTCTGATTAGATTGTCCTTATACTATACTTTTACTAATGAATCTTCCATTTTTTAAACATAAAATCATAATTATGAAGTTTTCATTATGACTTTTATTGGCTTACAAATACACCTAACAATACACTTTTCTTTGGCTATACAATGCATAAAGAAAAACTGAATGATAACATTGGAAAGAATTCCCAGTACTCGAGCTAGCAAAAATACATCTCAAGATATATATATTTCTACTATTGTGTTTGACAGACTTGACTATTATGAACAGAACGGTGAATATTAGTAAACATTTTCAATTTTCCGGTAGACAATGGTTTCGAATTCCACTATGAACATCACTGGGATGGAAGTGCATCCACCTGATGAGTTCCAAACAGAACAAAATGCGGATATTAGACTCCAATTCTAGTCATATATCATGTATACCATGTAGTAGTGAAAATTTTCAATGTTATTATATTAACGTTCATTTTATATCAATAGTCCCAAGTATAAATATATAACAGTTGGAGTTATTTTAATTGAATAGAATATATGCTATTCGTTGAACGGGTGAAACTACATTATTACTTTTAAAATAATCAGTTTTCAGATTTTATGTTTCAAGTTTTGAGGCATAATCAAAAGTATCATGAAAACTATTAATTGTACAATGTGAAATCTCGAAAGTAATATGATTGTAAAGTATTAAAGGTGTGTTGAATTGCTATGATTAGGTATAATGTGCTATTTTGAAGCAGACGCTTACTTGTTCTCATTCAAACAGTTAGGACAGGCTGTCTTTTTGTTCATTCACTTTTAAGTTTCAAGGAAAACTAAGTTTCTAGTGATTCACTATTGGACAGAAAACAATCTTGTAAAAATCGAAAAGATTCAAATAGATCTAGATCTGGCCATAACGTTTATCATCCTCACTTTTTGTAGTACATTCATGAATATTTGTGCATACGAGCAATGTGAAATCTATTTGCAGTTATTTAGGGAAAAATCATTATCTGATATAGCATTTATAGTGAAAACTGTTTTAAAGTCAAATATGAGTTGCTGTGCTGAGGATACTTTAATTTCATAATTAAATAGAGTTTAGTTAAAGGTTCATAAGCTTTAAGAGAAGGCTGTGGACAATATTTCAAATAAATATTCTAAAGGTTATCTATCCGCCTGCTCGTTAACCAAGTAAGAGACAGTATAAGATAGCTCTTTCATTAACTTATTTCCGTATATTATCTGACCGATTAATCTATCTGTTACAGATTCTTGGGATTCTTATCCTACCTTCATGACTTGATACTAAAATCTATAATAAGAACTGCTTATCAATCTAATTCTAATGATAAAGTCACCGTAATAACTGTTACAAACGCTCTCATCAACTGTACGGAAATCATATTTTGGTGTGTAATTTATGTTTTGATTAAGATCATGAAGGGATCGACGTTAGACCATCATTGAAAACCTGGAAGCACTGGATGGCCGTTTCATCCTGGTATGGGACTCCTCAGTATGATCTCAACCAAAACTCAACAATCTCCACAACCCTTTACTGATAATTATCATGTACTAACTAGTTATTAGGTTCAAGATGGATGTCCTGGAATAATAGTGAGAAGCCGCGACCAGTGGAGCTCAACTTTGTCTGGTGTGAGGCAGTTACTCACTGAAGGCAATGGAGAACGGTTGAACAATATCGTGGATTGGTTGAAGTTAGACATTAACACTATCGGATGCAGGCTCAGTGGTCCAGAGGTTAGGCGTTTGCACACGAGACCGAATGTACTGGATCCGAATCCCACGTTAAAGATAGTGGATACACACTGCCTATCAGTGGGAGAGTATGATGTGCATCAATCCCTTCTATATTATTCTACAGTTGTAAAACTGAAGAAAGCATTTATAAGATCCAATATTGTTACCGTAGTTATCTTTGAAGTTTTGTCCTCGTATTATGGGAACCATCGAGTCAATAATGTGAGATAAAATGTATGGTGCTAGTTATAAAAGACAGGTTGATTAATAAACCTCTCAGTTTTATCGACCGAGGTGGCTGAAATATATGTTGTGCTTAACCACTGTCTACCTAGAAACCCTTTATTGGTTGACATAGGTGTAGGTTGAAAGAATGCTAAGGGTTCAAAAACATGATAGTTCTAGATTCTAGTTTAATAATTATTAGCTTAAAGTTATAATAATTTCCGTTCTTTGGTTTCATGTACCTAGAATAAATGTTCAACTTTTTATTGACGAATTAATGAGCAGTATTACATCAACCTATCTCACTTTACTAATTTACATCTCTCTTGTGACCTGCTGTTGTGTCCCATTGTAATATATGTTTATTTCTCATTACATGTGTAGAATAATTCTTTTGGTATAATTCCAGCATTCCATATCAAGCGGAGATTCTACGCTTATGTTAATCTGACTTATCTAATTCAGATTCTTGTTAAGCGTCATCTAAGAAGTCTAGATATCCTGGATTCGATCTCTAGTGAAACCGTGGATACCTACTATTGAGTAACCTTAGACTATGATGTAACAACTGTTCAGTTCTCTCTGACTTTCAAATATTGTCTAACCAAAGTCAGTCCATTATGTAAAACTTCATAATCTAATTGACTTCAGTTATAAAACTGAGTTCTCATGATCAACCAATAGGATTATCTATGCTACTGAGATTTTAACATATTACTCGTTGTTATCTAGTACTATGATTTGTGTTTCATAATTTTCCCATTTCAGTTTATGGTCAATTGCCCTAGTTAGTCAAGTCGTTACCCGGTCAAGTTTCCAAAATCAATAGTTTCTACTGTAAATTTGCGACTAATGTATTCGGTGGTGATGAGGGCTTAAATGGGTCGGTCTTTACAAATGTAGATTAAACAAACGGTAGTTTTATCAGTAAACAAAACAAACTGTATACCTGTACTTATATTTTCCTAAACCAATGCGCTATTCTACCGTGCTGTTCCAACTAATGAGTTTGTAGCCTACTTATTAGTATAAAACAATTTCTATTATTTTTTCAGTACGTCTCGAAAACAACTTAACACTGTTGGTATCTAGACGTCATCAACAGTGGCATATAAATTTTAACGATTCTAGATTTAAGTTATTCAAATCAAAGATAATTGTTTAACCTTTCTAGGAATAGATCCATAAACTGTTTCCAGATTTCTAAAAAAACTTATTACTGAAGGGCAAGGCAGATTTTCCAGTGTACCAACATTTCTACTGCTCAGAATAGCAAAATGTTTTTGGAATCTTTGGTCATATATTGAAAATCTCCATCGATAATGTCCAATTATTATATCAACTTAACCAATGCCGAGTTCTTTTATTGACGATATACAATGTTTCATGTTTCCTTTTTTTAATTTACTTAGCCTGTCCACGTAGATTACATTTCACGTACAGCTGAGGAACAAATCCAAAGAGCAATGAATCATGGAGAATTTAATAATTTATCAGGTCAAGGTCGTCCAATTGATTATGATAAAAATCCTCATGTATTTGGGGACTCAACTGATAAACGTCTTAACCAATTAATGGCTAATCAAGGTTTCCTGCCGAAATGGGTTTTGTTAAATAAAGAAGTTAATTCTCGTTGGAATATTGCTATTGATAAGTTAAATTCAATCTATAATGTAGAATCTAATTTACATTCTTCAATATGGTCAGAAGCTTGTAAGGTAAGCGACCATTATGACAACAACAACAGATATTCTTCTTGAATAAGTAAAAGATATAATCATTGAAGTGCTGTAATCATTAGTTAACTGTAGTTGGAAAAGCAGACCATTGGATTTCCGACTCATTGGTCTTAAGGTAACACATTCATTACAAAACCAGGTCTCAAGCTCGAGTTTATATGAGGGTGTAGATGTACAATACTGATGGGTATCAAGATTATAGGATAGACAAATAAATGAACCTTTATAGAAACTAGTAAATAAATGGATAGACTGAGATTGCTAAACTTATTAACAAAATAAGTGAACATTAGGAATCGGGAATCTGCACAAAGTTCAAAACCGCTTCTGTCAGCAGATAGTCGGGCTTCGACAGTTTGTCTAGTCCAAGTTTTTTCGCAGTCTTCTCAACTTAAGTAAAAGTTTGATGATTCACTGAAGTGCAGTTTTAAGCTGCTTGAACTGTCCGTCACAGTGTATTGTCTAACACCTGTTTCGGAAAATTGTTGATGACCTCTATTATTGTATAGTATTTTCAGCGAAAATTTTCTTTTCGACTTCATTTACTTAAGCTGTACAATCGTATCGTATGTTCATCTATCAGTCTACGTGCTCATGTGGAGCAGGTGATATTGGCCTCACAGAGTGAGGCCTTTCGAAACACATCTCGGAACATTACCCTGACTGGCTCTCCAAAAAATTACAGAATTCAGTCAAAAGCTCAATCTTCGAGCATGTAGTCAATTCCGGCTACTCCACTTGACCAGAAACCTCCTTCAGAATTATACGTCCAGTCAGAAGAGTTGGCGCAATACGGATGTAAATGAAAAACTTATATATGGCAGAGTCTATTGTTATCCTCGAGTTTAAGCCTAATTTTGCGTACAAAAACAGTACGTTCCATTCCTCATTCTCCTATGACTCTAACTTCCCTTTCTATCTTCCATAATCCATCGTTTTTATTCATTATTAATCACTATCCTTCCTACTCCTTTCCAATTATTTTCACAATTATTAAATAGCAAGTATCAAAACTTTTAATTATTCTGTTCTCAATAACTATCAAGTGAACAATTATTCCACCTCACCACTTTTCCACTAGCCAATTATTACATAACTTCCTCCCAATATCTGATTTCCAAATCTTGACAACATACCATTTCAAGTTTTTTAACTAATTAACGCCTTTCTATCTCGCTATAGAACACTATTTTAGTCAATAAAATTGACTATAAATACAATTTAACAGCTTAAGTAAATGAGATCGTCGAAAAGAAATTTTCTTTTGCTAAATTGCTTTCCTTTTTTGATGTGGCAGAATTAGCAGGTAAAAATAGCTACTAACCATTTTCTGACGTCATCATCCTATCCATTTATATTTTTGTCACCCATCATACTGCCATCAGTTGTTGAGCAGAGTCGTAGCTCATTCTCGTTAAAATTGCCTTCATACGTAATTTATAACTTGTTGTAAAGATTCACTAACTTAGATAGAGTTCTCTTCCTGCCATATTAAACTGAGTATTTCGATAAACTATAATGTCGTTACATTTCATCAACTGTCTAGCGAATCCCTCCTACAACACAAAATTAATGCTTTCTTCTTCAGAATGATGAACTTTCCAACTGCCTACACCTTACAAGTATTCAAGAAATGACATATACGAGAACAAATCAATGCATGATCAGATGTTAAGTAGTTACTCAAATAATACCAATAAGCTCTCACCGTTCCTATTTGATTTATAACAATATGATTTAATTGTGCTCATAAACAGATTGACGTTAATGGTTATTGGATAGGACACTTTTTCTCCTTCCCGATACTTAAAGTTATGAACGATTTGCTAATGGGATGAGACCGTAAAAGACGATAATTCTCATCGGTTTGCCATCATAGAATTTCAGAAATACTCTCAAGATGCTTTTCCGGTTAAGCTCTTTACCCGCATATTTAAGTCAATCCCATGTATGACTACATCTGTATACTTGATCTTTTGAATTTAAACTGACACCTTTTGATAAAATTCAGGCCAGTTGTTGCCTGGACTGTAGTCAGTAGGAAAGTGTGTAGGCGGAGAAAACAAATAGGCATTATTGTGAGTCCACTATCTTTACAAGTTTCTATAGAAACATTCGGTAAGAAAATTCGCATGCTGTAATCATCTGATATCCAGATATCTTGCAAAAAACGAATATTATCTATATGGTTTATATAATCCTCATAGTACAGTAGCCTTTAACTAAAATGGCATCACACCATTTTCCATTCAGATTGGCAAACATTCTACCTTCAATATATCTTTCTAGAAATTCAATTGTTACAATAATAAATTTTTTCTTAAGGATTTCTTTAAAAAGGACCGAATGTATTCGGATGGAATCATTTTGTAGGTATGCTTTATAATTTACTGTTTCTTATGTATCTATACCTTGTTAAGTGTGCATTAACACACTAAACTCAAGATCAAGGAGGAAGGCGAAAAATGAACCCAACTGCACTGTTGAGACCGGTTTCCAGTCATATCATCTAAGGTAACCAACCATGGATTACAACTATCATATAATTGTAAACTAGGATGCATAAATTTCCCTTGAATAGTTCAGAATATCATTCGAAAACTTGAAATTCAAGTTAACGTTCAAATAATAACGATTGTTTCGGATATGATAAATTTCGTTCATAACAGTATGTCATTTAATTCATGATAAAGTGTTTATCTTTTTTCGCATTTTCAACAGGATTTTGAGGAGGAAGTAAAAGAATTAAACCGATTACTTGATCAATACAATCTATTAGTCCCTAGTCATCAAATGCAGCGTTTTCATTTGAATAGTAAGACAGCTATTGACCAACTCATGAAAGCTAAACAATCACACACGAATGAGCAAAACAAATGTGATCCTACTACGACTCAAAATGAAAGCAAAGACGGCGTACCACAAACTGAGGATAACAATCAGAGTTTATGGGATCCCCGCTATATGGCTGAAGTAATGCGCGACTTTTACCGTGAATTGGCTAGGTCATGGGCGAGTATTCTACGAGGCTTCAAAGATCATAAATAACACCTTGTATTACTCTAAAATATCGATGTTTATGTATATTCATATCACAATTAACAAGTATTCTAAATCAACTTATAGTTCAAATAGGCTAAATTAACAAAGCAATCTCTCGTAAAGTAATGAAAAAACATTCGTATGTTTCACACTTTTTTCTTATCAACTTTAATCTTCATTTCATTAAAGTAAAAAAACCCAGCTGAATCTGATCGTGTACAAAAAATCGTTGACGTGAAATCAATCATAAAAAACTAATATCAACTGCATAATCAATGACGGTAGGCCATGACACATAAAGGACTATCGATTTTTCTATTTTAAGACATGCAAATTTTGTTCAATTCACAGATTTTTAGTTGTTTGACTAGACTGAATTGAGGCGACTAATAAATGATAGGAATCTCATATTTTGAAATAAAATAAAAATCAACTCTTGAGAAAGGAGACGTGTAACTATGAGGTCAAATTAAACTTAAAAGCAAACACTAATGGTGGTAGTAAAGTACAAGCTGTCCAACAGTAAACACGTTCGCCATGGGATTTTAGGTACAGTATTTGAGGCTGTCAAGAATGATCAGCTATTGAAAGTATCATATCAAAAAGCAATATCAATCCTGAGCTTCATTGTAGGAATGCTGTCCTTGCTTTTCCGATCCGTGCCTTCACATCTGCATCAGTTCCTCCTTGTTTTTCAATGATGCTTCTCAAATACGTGAAACTTTCTACATCTTCCAGAGCTTCTCCATTAAGTGTGATTGGGTTGGTGCTCGCTGTATTGTATTTCAGGATTTTGCTTTTCCCCTTGTGTATGTTGAGACCTACTGATGCAGGAGCTGCTGCTACACTGACCGTCTTCCCCTTCGTTTGTTCTTGTGTATGGAATGGAAGAGCTAGGCGATCTGCGAAATCCGAATCGTCTGGTTGCAGCCAAGCTGTTCATTGTATTCCATGCTCCCCGTGAGATGTGGAGGTCTTCATAATCCAGTCGACAACCAGAAGGGAAACATCGTGAGTAGGCAACCTTGTCCACCAGTCTTCACCTACAATGCATGCTTGTAGCATTTAAATGATTGAGCGTTGATCAGTTAACTCAGCAGTTAACGTTTCCAAGAAGTGTTATCTGTGTAACTCTATCTATTAATCAGTGATATCCTAACAAAATACAAACCGGTACAACAATCCTCCTTTATATTGCAAGTCGATTCACTGTTTAAATATTCATGTCATTCTCAATATTTCCAAACTTTGCCTAGCGTGAAAGCTGTAGGGACGTCATGAGTAAAATAGATTCAAGCCACAGAAACCAATGTTTCGAGATGACATTTACTAAGTTATCTCTACTATGACGACATGATTTAACCTATGAACTACTTACATTATGTTTCTATTAAATGCGAACAATCTTTTATGTACACTGACAATCGCAACGTGCCGCAACTCGGATAGACATTTCGCTAGCGTATAGTCATATTGTTTGCACCGCAGTGTTATATATCAAACGTTTTACAGCCAAACTAGTTTCGTTAGAGTCAAAATATTCCATATTGATGTCACGTCTACAGACGCTAATCGCTAACTGACTAAGTATGTTTTAAGCAGACTACATCACTACATGGTAAGACTATATCGCCTGTACACTCAACGTTGAAAAGCCTTTCTCTGAGCAAAAGATATTTACCACTACGCAAAGATATGGAGTAGTAGTGATTTAGAACAAACTTACCCAACTGTATTGTTCATTTTTAGTGGAAAAGTGTGGCTGTATCATCTCACTTTACTTGAATTATTTATGTGTCCAGTTTTCAATATGTTGACGGAGGAAACAAATCCCCATTATGTACATTCATGCCACATAAAGTGAAATGAGTTAACTGCTAGGTAAAAAAAACCAGTCGCTTTAACTATACAAAGAACGAGAGATTAGCCCATCACATAATTTACATAGCACTACGAACGTTTACCTTATGTCATGTGCGAAGTATGTATGACAATGTTTAGGATAAATTATAGTCTGATTACTTATCGAATAAATTATGCAGCAGATAGGAATGGAACCGGTAAGTAGAAGTGAACATAGTCACATAAAGAGATCATTGCACAAGATAACATATCTATATTTCGCAAAATATTTACAAAATTAAACAGAAATTTAATAAGGATTGAATTGCCATCATCGAGCTTCGAAAACACTCACTAAAATAAAGGAAAGTTTAGATCGATTAAACGATAAGAATACAAAAATGCCAGATTGTCTGAAGTTATTGTTTATTTAAACCAAAAAAAACTCATTTTAAGCATACTGCAAGTCAAAGTTTTAGGAGTTGAAGGTATTATATGAAGGAACAGAAATACTCAGTTGTTTTGATGAGCGTATTTGTATCGGAAGAAGGACACTTATAAATTGTTTGCCATGTCAACTATCTTTGGATGCGTTTATACCATCTACAAATTCTTATGCATCATAACACTAAGAGTGAATAATTAACATGTAAACTGCCAAAATCACAGTATAAAGGAGGAGAACTTATAAATTACATAGAGGTTTGTAGAAGGTAAAGTTACCACTAAGTATAATCGAAATCCGAAGTTAAATGATAGTGAATGTTTCTTAATACTTGCATGACTAACCCAACTTTCGAAACTTATAAATCTCGTCAGAGAATGATTGTGAACAGTGGTGGGTAGCGAAAGCAGGAGAGATGGAAAAGGCAGAGGCAATAGGTAACAGCAGACAACTGTTCAGACTTGTTAAGGAAACCGGTATTAGCAACCCGACTGTTGGCGAAACTATCTCAGAAAAGGATGGACATATTATTCATTCTCAATCCAGGAGATTGGATCGATGGGCAGAACACTTTAGGGACCAGTTCAACTGGTCTTCAGCCACACTTTTGTTTCCCACGATCTCCAGTCAACCTGAATGGCAAGTTAATGTAGGTCCTCCGACTCTTTACGAGATTGAAAAATCTATAGGAAATCTGAAGCGAGGGAAAGCAACAGACACTGACAGGTTTACTCCTGAGATTTCTAAGGATGGTGGTCCAGTATTAGCAGCAAGATTAACTGAGGTCTTAGGTAGAATTTGGGAACTGGACGTAATCCCATCTGACTGGTCTCAATCACTGATTGTGCCAGTCTATAAAAAGGACAAAAGTCCTCTTGTGACAATCACAGAGGAATCAGTTTGACTAATATAGTGTCTAAAATATTGGCTTCAATAATACTTCGACGCCTAACCAAAGCTCGTGAAGAACAGACTAGAGAAAATCAGGCTGGTTTTCGACCTGGACGTGGTCGTATAGACCAGATATTCACACTACGTCAGATTCTAGAACACACACACGTTCAGGCACCCCACAATCGTAGTACTTCTCGACCTTAAGGCAGCATTCGACTCTGTTGATCGTGAGGTTCTATGGCAATGTTTGTCACTGAAAGGAGTACCAAAGAAGTACATTAATCTTGTAAAGGCTCTCTACTCGAACACAACTGGTCGAGTGAGAGCTTATGGTGAACTGTCATCAGAATTGATTACCTCAAGTGGTGTTCGTCAGGGCTGTCCACTCTCCATTCTTAACTTTGTCGTTGACTTGCTTTTAGAGATGACACTTCCCTCATCTAGATTTCCAGGGGTTGAACTTCTACCGGGAGATCCTGTTATATCCCGATAAGAATAATGAATGGTAATTCTTGGGATCCATTTATGGACCAATGCTATGAGTATATTTTTATCGTATAATTGTTATGTAACTAAACTGTTCATATTCATGTTGCTCTTATCATAAGCTTTAATTTGACCCATAGACTGTTACTATACGATTTACCACTCTTGATTTATGGCCTGTCTATTAATTACTATCTCTCTCATTCACAGCCACTTTTGGCCAAATATTGTACAAATGTTATGTTCTATTTTATGGTACATTGTGGTCGGTTTGATTGGTATATAAACCCCGTATGTTTGAAATAATTGATTCATACCGCAGAGGCTGAGACTTGCGTTCTGAACCTAACTGGCTGGGCTAGACAGGGAGCGAGACCAATCAGAACTCTAGGCTGCTCGCATGTGTTTTATGCGCCACTGGTTCGACCGATAATTCGCTGCTCTCTGATTGGCGGTATCGTTGCGTTATCCAATATACAGGGCACACAGGTTCACAAGTTATAACAGATCCACTTGTTGACTTAGAATATGCCAATGACATAGTTCTATTTGATGAAGACGCTGACAAAATGCAGAGTCTTCTGACCACTCTAAGCAACAATGCTAGTATGTTTGACATGCGGTTCTCCCCTTAGAAACCCAAAATGTTGCTTCAGGATTGGGTTGCATCGTCACCCGGACTAATGATAGGGAGTGAAGTAGTTGAGCGTGTCGATCGCTTCACTTATCTTGGAAGTCTCATCAGCCCTTGTGGTTTGGTGTGTGACGAAATCTCAGCACGGATACAGAAGGCTCGACTAGCTTTTACCAACTTGCGTCATTTATGGCGTAGGCGAGATATCCGTCTATCAACCAAAGGACGTGTTTACTGCGCAGCAGTTCGTTCCGTCCTACTTTATGGCAGTGAAACATGGCCGGTAAGAGTAGAGGATATTCATAGGTTACTAGTATTCGATCACAGGTGTCTTCGAAACATCGCTCGTATATCCTGGGACCACCAAGTAAGTAATACAGTTGTTAGGAAACGGGTACTAGGTAAGAATGGCAAATCAATTGATGAAGTAGTGAAACTCCATCAGGTGAAATGGCTGGGACACCTTATATATGCCCAACCACCGATTGCCTCTATGAGCGACGTTTTCTGGTGTGGGAGTAGGTTGGAAGAAAGCTGGGAGCGGCCAGACCAAAACATGGCACAAATCCCATGAAGTCACTGACAAGTGGACTGAGCTATGTTGGTAGGTGTAGACTATCTGGTTGGGGACCGCGAGATAATAGCAACAGGTGGTTAGAGACCTTGAATGACATGGCTCAAAATCGTTCGCAATGGCGCAAGTCCATCTACTCTTTGTGTTCTCACAAATTTTAATCTCCTGATTCCTCCTTGTCTCTTTTTTCTCTTCCCAAATTTATTTCACTGTATTACACTCTTTAAATAACATCTTCAAACCATAATCTTTCTGATTACTGCTTATACTCTTACTACCTCTACCACTACGGGATTTGAGGGGATACAGCCGAAGATCGAAGCGACCAGTGATCTGAACAATACTTTGATGTAGCTCGATTGTCTAGTACAAGTTTATGCACTCAGATTTCAGATACATTATGTGTGAGGGTTCGAGTCTGTGACTTACTTGTTGGAAAGCGAGTTCTATAACCAATCAGTCACCACTTAACAAAATGACCAAGATATGTCAATCCCTCAAAATATCTGATTCTTTGTCTTTCATTCATTTGACCAACATAATTTTTAACCCTATATTGTTACGAATTATAACAACGTTAATTTCTTGAGTTTTCTGGTCAATAATCCTGTGCATAGTCCCCGTTACTTAACATGAATATGAAGTTCAAATTCAAAAATACATTTCAAGAAATTGTAAATAAACTATTAACGTAGAAGGGGGCTCTAAACTACTGTAATATGTGTGACAGGTAGATGCACAAATTAAAAGCATTACATAAAAGTTTATTAGCTTATGCTGTCACAATTTACAACAGCACACAATAGGAAAACAAACAAAAACAGGAAGCCATTAAAATCAAAAATTCACATAAGTTGACAATGGGAATTCATTCATAGGTTATAAAATTTAAAGGTTTAAGAGTGAATAGACCTCTACCATTCTAATCTACTGAGTTATTATAGCACTTAGGGTCTCTAACCAATGATTTTCATCATATAGAGAACCTTTCAAAAATCTGGGTCTATGCGTTTAAATCAACCGTTAGTAAGTTTACGAGGTGATATTACGTTGTTGTTGGAGGTGCAGATCAAGAATATTGTTAACTGATTTACCATTTTTATCTAAAACACCGTGCCTAGCTTCAACACTGCTGACTCAGTTATCCTGAGTTCAAGAGCTAAGACAAGATAAGTAATGAGTGCATTTGAGCTATTGGAACCGATATGGAGTCATGTAATTTTCCTTCAAAATACAGATAATGATTACTTCACAAATCCTAACCGGCAGGTTTATTGTGTAGTGCAACTTACCAAACACGTTTATCAGCTTGTTTTGAATCGCTCTATTTTGTGTGTGCGCCGGTAATACTACCGTCTAACCTATGACTCAATGGTTGAAAGTCGAAAACTGTAAACACTAAGTAATCGCTCATTACATGATTTAGACAAATAGTCGATGGTCTCATAGTGTGATTATACATGGCCCGACCACTTTTCACACTTTACCAATATAAAAACAATATGCTGACATGAAACTGTTATGAAATTTTGTCAGACGTAAAATAATAATATTTGGGACTATTGAGAATTGTTTCATACAAAAAGTTGGTAGAGAAAAGGCTTCTACTCCTCTTACTTCGTTTTGACCGTTTCTTGTATAAAACTCTGTGTCCACACTCAAGACAGCGAACAAGTTCTCTGGGTCGAATTTCATTTTCAGCCCGACATTCTATAATTAATTAGACCAACACATACAAGCCATCATCAAAGATAATACAAAAAACTTGGCATGGATATAGAAAAAAATACACTTTATAACTGTTAAAATAGAGCAAACATTTTAGTGAAACTGTTTTTCATAACCAGGTTCTTAAAAGCTATAAACTCATATCTATATGGAATATTGTGGTGAACAAGGTTTAGACATTGGTATGCCTGTGTGTAATTAGTTCATGGGATACAATTCATATTAATAGATAAAATAGATTAACAAATGAATCGTCAAATTGATTCGAAAATAAAGGACACCAAACTCAATGCCAAAGACATAACTAAAATATGAGAAACTGTGACATGATTCTTGAAGTAGGTAAATGAAAATTAGTTGAATTATTAATTTCACTTATTATATCATTATGGCGTTATGTCTGAATGCAATAAACTGATAACAAAATCAACAAAGCAAAACGTGAAGGAAAATACAGGAATATAAAAAAACCAGGGCTATGACAGAAAATATTTTTGCAAACTGTTTCTGTGTACATATCTTGCTTTAGTTCGAGTATCCTCAGTATTTTTGTAACAAAAAAGTGTTTACACCTTTCAGTAGATTTGGTTTAATTTTACAAATGATTTTGAATGATAGGTCGAATAATTCGTGTTTGTCGTCGATCAAATGTTCCAGAATAAATTGTGTACTTCCACATTGTTTCTCAATGAGCTACACTGGTACGTGCTCTTTTACACGTAAGAAAAGGGTCCTTATATACTTTTTCAAAGTTCCATTGTTCACAAAGGAATATATTTGCATAGGATGAAGTCCAACTGACGAAATTCAGTGAACAAAAGGATAATATCCCAAGTGTGGTCGCTTATCTTTAAAGTGAATCCTTTGTAACAGCTTTGCGTCGTATATTGCTAGATCTGAGAAATTTTAATCACTGTACATTTTTATTGACTGCCAAATTATAAACGATAGAGAATACTCTGATTCATCAATGCTAGTTGTTGGTATCAAAACGTCAGCCATGGAAGCAGTGTTGCTCCCAAAGTTTAAATTTACCCATCCTCTGCTATAGGTGTTTATTTGCAACCGATTGGCGGCTTAGAGAGTAATTTTAAGGTTCAAATTTTGTTTATCAAATGCGGTGAATGGTATCATCCTAGTTTCCCCGTGTTAATCAGAAACTACATACCGGTTATCCTATCGGTAACATGCAGAAGACGACTATCTTGAAGGTTTTGGTCGGCGACCAGAGTCAGTAATCATTGGCTGTTGTGTTTCTCTGGCTCTTAATACCAAACTGAGAGTGACGTGTAGTGTCTAACACTAGTTCTAGTTTTGCATCCTAATCTTTTCTTAAAATTTGAACGCGATGTTCTGTTTAGTCGTACTTGTGCCACATATTTTACTAATGTATTAACCATTTCCTTCAACTCTTTAAGTTGGTCGTTTGATGTGACAGTATTGGAACTACTGTTGGCGTTTTCAAACATTCGCACATCCTGTTAGTGATTACTGGGAGCTTGTCCACATTGACTTCTTGTTCACTAAACATTGAAATCTGCTGGATGTTTCGTAGACTCCTTAGCCATAATTGATAGAGCGAAGGCAAGTCAACCTGTCGATTGCTTAAAATATTTAGCATGTGCCACTTTAGTTGAGACGGTGTGCTAGTTCCTAGTTGTACATTAGGCAATTGTTGCTTAAGCGTTAGGTAGCCAGAGAGACCAGTTGCTGTAACAACTTCTGGTTTTACGACACGATATGGTGAATTTGATTTTAATACAACGCTGACTTGCTCGATATCTCATACGGTAGTACAGAGTATTACTAATTCTATGCGCGGAAAAAATTCTTCCAACCTCAACAAACCTTAAAGCGGAGTTGTATGTTTTAAAAGCCGTTAGGGGCAGAGGACCGGTTTTGGGAAGTATAAGAAAAGATTCTTGGGACAATGAGAAAAGGAATATAAGACACAATAGTGAACATAAAAGGAATAAGTAAAACGCAAATAAACGGTAAGAATGTTGGCCGAATAGTGCTTCTAAATGTGAGTTTATGAATAGTAATGTGATATGGCAGTTCTACATGTTGTGAGATTGACAGTGGACAAACAGACGAACACATAAAACCACCTAGAGTCATAAATAACCGTAAACTATATACCAATAACCGACTATTGTATATGAATAACTATGGATTATGTCTATACATCGCGTTATAACAAACAATCTACTCACAATTAATTCCATAACCAAAAGACTCAAACAACCGAAAAATCAATTAAAATAATAGAAAGTTCTGGAAAATTCAGTGATTAAAAAAACGACTAACGAGGTCCAATAATCATAGTGAGTGTGCTTGAAAACCGGTATCATTTAGCTGAATCTGAAGGATTTATGGTCAGTTTGCTAGTTACAGTTAATATAGAATCCACTAGAAATATTACCGGCTTAAGTTGGCAAAACAGGCCAGGCCAGTCCAACAAGGAGGAAATGAATAGGGTGAAAATCAAAACGGTAAATGATAAATCAGGATTGAAACATAGAGATGAAAAACAAAGGTTATAGTGGAGTGAATGAATTTAGAGGGCATAAAGTCAGAAAAGATAGGTAAGTTATGGTATTAGGAAATAAACCGAACAGTATGCAATCAACTTTGAGATCATCCGACTCCTCAAATAATAAATGACTACCTTACGGACTCTAATTAGTAAGCCACATCTATAAAGATAGCCTACATTGATAACCAGGAGAACCGAGAACTGATATCATTTTTGCATTTGACTGCTTGCTACTACACATATCTAGCGCGAAAAATCTTACATACTGGCTAAAGAGATGGGCAGTCTAGTGCTTGAAACCATGTTAGTACAAATGCAGCAGACATGGCAACAGAACACCATTCTTACACATTAGGCATCATATCATTTACAACATAGTCACCACAAACAAACAATAAGTGGGAAAATATATTGAAAAATAAAGAAAAAATAATTGGGAAACGCACCTAAATGTTTGCTTTTTCGCCTGTCAGGTAGGAAATAAAGTGAATTTAAATGTTGATGAATTGTCTACTTTTCACCTAAATATACGCCGATTCATCTAGTTTCTCTTCAATTTTTAACACACCTTTGGCCTAACCCCAAACGTCTCCTGTGTTCGCATTTATTTCCATAACAAACCACACGACAACCGCAATCGACGTTAAAGATGGTACATGTTTAAAGAAATCTATTGGAAAGTAAAAAGCGTCATATTGTACAACATAATGAGTAGCTGACAGATGCTAGAGCATTGATCGTTACGTATTTTAATTGTAATTACCGAGTTTTGTTGTAATTTGAAAAGAAAGGACAGGTTATGTGTTACTAATTAGGCACGTGTACTTAATTATAAGTGCATTTAAAAGCAAACAGGTTTTCTCAACACTCATTCAGAGTTTCCCGTGCAAGTTAAGAGATAAGCGCATGTTTAAAAAACGTTTATTGGAAACGAAGTTGAACGTGAAGAATATTCCACTGGTAATGGCTTTCTGTAACGCCTGTTGGACTATTGAGAAGCAAAGTAATCTCGTGAATTCTAAAATTTAAGATATGTTGAACTTTGGTTGTGTACTTGTGATTTTGATACTTTGGATTTGTATATTAATGTAGATGGACCTTCTATTTCAAGGAGCTCTTGTCAACACTTATGGCCTGTACTAGGACGCACCGTTGCCCGAAGGTTCAGAGACATGTTCATGATAGGTACTTATGGAGGGAATACTAAGCCGATAGAATTCAACGAAATATCTGCGGACGCCATTTCTGAATCAAAAGAAATGACAGATATAGGTATGCTTAATGTGAAGCTCAATAAGTACATAGCTATTAAGTTGGCTGCTGTAATATGATATACACCTGTTCATTCTGATGTTAGATACACAGTTAATCACAATGGAAAGGCAGGTGTACTGTATTTGGTCGACGGCTTGACGGAAAGATGACGTTTTCAAATGATGAATATACGTTGCAAACTGATGACGGCTTTCGTCAGCAGACTCAACCTATTCGCCATCAAGGCCATTACATTTTAGAAGTGCTTCCGATTAATATGATCTCAACCTTTCCATTAGATCCGATGAACATGGTATGCTTAGGTGTGGCGAAGAATCTAGTCAATTCATAGATAAAGTTTTCTCACAAACGACTAAGAAACATGAACCACAGGTGTAATTAGGGATATAAGTCAATATATAGTTGCGTGGCAAGTAATCCCTCCAACGTTCAGTGTAAATGCCGCACATTAGACTTCGTCTCAGTATGGAAAACTTCAGAGTGTCGACTGTTTCTTCTAATATTTAGGTCCCGTAATTCTTCAACAACGTTTGCCGCAACCCTTGTACCTTAATTTCAGGCGTTTGGCTTTGTCGATTTATTTGTTAGCACATCCAGGATTACATAATAGCGCTACAGATTCCGTCAGAATAGATTTACTAAACTTTCTTAAGGAATATGAATGGTGTTATGGGCCTGAAAACTTAGTTTAGAATGTGCATTTGTTGCGGCACTTTCCTGACGATATTCGTGCTGAAGAGGTCAGTACAATAATCTTACTAACCTTCTGTAGAGCTGCATTGAAACGGAAGGAAGGGTTTCTTTACATTTCCGTTGACATGGATGTGGCCGAGATTCAGGCGACAAATTTGCAAATCAACAAAATTAATAGGATCATTTGTTCGTATTGCAGATGACCATGTAGACACGGTTAATGAATGATAACCCTCAAACGTCTACACACTATATTTTGTCATACGTTATGACACCGGGGGTTGCCAGCCATTTCACACTTCATCGAAAAGCGCACTTCAGAAGTGCAGATTTTACGGCTGCATAAGTAAGAAATTTTTTTGAACTTCAGGAACATTAACGAATCGGTCCCTACCTCATCCGCTAACGATAAAGACCTTGCGAAACTGTATGATATCACGACGCAAGGATACTTACACAACACGAGACAAAATACAAAAGCGTCATAGAAAACAAAGATATGTAGGTACTAATTTGAAGAGATAACTATATCCTACTGTCCTATAGGTACAGTGTTCAGTGTTAACGAACATAACTGTAAGTGAAAGTTCATATAGATATTTGTTTAAAAAACAATAGCAGTTAGATATCGATGTCATGTTTTGTGTTCATTAAATTTTAGGATTCACGAGATTACTTTGCTTCTCAATAGTCCAACAGGCGTTACAGAAAGCCATTACCAGTGGAATATTCTTCACGTTCAACTTCGTTTCCAATAAACGTTTTTTAAACATGCGCTTATCTCTTAACTTGCACGGGAAACTCTGAATGAGTGTTGAGAAAACCTGTTTGCTTTTAAATGCACTTATAATTAAGTACACGTGCCTAATTAGTAACACATAACCTGTCCTTTCTTTTCAAATTAAAACAAAACTCGGTAATTACAATTAAAATACGTAACGATCAATGCTCTAGCATCTGTCAGCTACTCATTATGTTGTACAATATGACGCTTTTTACTTTCCAATAGATTTCTTTAAACATGTACCATCTTTAACGTCGATTGCGGTTGTCGTGTGGTTTGTTATGGAAATAAATGCGAACACAGGAGACGTTTGGGGTTAGGCCAAAGGTGTGTTAAAAATTGAAGAGAAACTAGATGAATCGGCGTATATTTAGGTGAAAAGTAAACAATTCATCAACATTTAAATTCACTTTATTTCCTACCTGACAGGCGAAAAAGCAAACATTTAGGTGCGTTTCCCAATTATTTTTTCTTTATTTTTCAATGTATTTTTCCCGTTTATCGGTTGTTTGCGACCAGATCGTATCTAACTACCGGCTTGTCAGTCCAACTAACTTTGTCGTTAAGTTGCTTGAAAAGATCATTCGGGTTAGGTTGCTAAACCACATAGATTGACACAATCTGTTAGCTCCTGAGCAACATGGATTTCGTAACAAGTGTTCATGCTTGACTAACTTACTTATTGCGAGAGAGGTTTGGACAGCAGCATTAGATAAAAGCCTGTCTGTCGATGTGATATTCATAGATTTTAGCAAAGCATTTGACAAGGTCTCACACTTAGGTTTTATGCAGAAGCTCACGAGCTTCGGAATAATGGGTACTGTACAGGAGTGGATAGGTAGCTTCTTATGTGACCGCAGACAGAGAGTAAGGGTCAATGGGACGCTATCCGATTGGAAGCCGGTCAAAAGTGGTGTACTCCAAGGCACCATCTTAGGCCCTCTGCTCTTCCTTCTCTACGTTAATGAGTTACCGCTGTTTCTTAGGTCGTCAACATTATTGTTTGCGGATGACGTAAAAATCTGGAGAACAATAAAAAATGAAGCTGGTCATCTGGATTCTCAAGCTGACTTAGAAGATTTAGTTAGAGGGGCTCGATGTTGGGGCTTAGAAATCAATCCTAGGAAGTGTGCTAATGCACATCGGTCACGGTAATAGTTACCATTATACTATTGGTGGTAAACCTCTTCCATGCGTTCAAGAGCATAAAGGCTTAGGAGTAATAATAAGTCATGACTTAAAAACAACTACATATTGCAGCGCAGCCGCTATCAAAGGTTTTCATGCGTTATGTTCACTTCGCCGAGCGTTCAAATCTTTTGACGAGGAAATGTTTCGAATTTCATATCCCACCTACGTAAGACCACATTCAAAGTACTGTATCTAAGCAGCTAGCCCATGTCTGGCGAAGGATACTAACTCACTTAAGAGTTTCCAGCGTGTGGGAACGAAATTAGTGAAGGGTCTTTCTAAACTCCCTTACGATGAGCGTTTAAAACGCCTAAACCTTTTCCCCTTGTCGTATCGTAGGACGCGGTGACCTTATACTGGCATTTCGTATCTTTGTCTATGATTTGGGTGTTAATATGTCTTATCTTTTTGCTCCCTCCAGCACTAATAATCTCCGAGGTCATAGCAAGAAGGTTTATAAACCGCGATCTAATCAACTTAAAGTGGGGTCTCGTTTTTCTCACCGAGCAGTCAATGATTGGAACGCCTTACCCAAACAAGTGGTATCGGCCCCATCAGTGAATATTTTCAAGGAGAAACTGGACCTTCAAAGGAAGGCTATCTGTCAGGATTAACACAGGTTCACTAACCTACTATCCTTATTACTGAAGACTGAACTAGCTTTCCAGTCAAGATTTTGAAGGCAAGTGTCTACCCCTGTTCAAAACCCTCCCTTACCAGAAAATATGCTGTCAACTTGTTTCTGACAATAAGCTAGACATACAGACCAACAAACAGAAAAATGACAAGTCATTACCCAAGATGTGACTCACCTCCGCATATATACGAAACAGTTTTTGACAAGTGAGTTACAGAATTTGCCGCTGGTGTGGCACCACTCCCACTTCTACTCTCCATTTATGATTCTACGAGCTATTACCGTAGAGAGCTCTTGGTCAGTGGAACACCACAGTGAGGCGCGACAGTTGTATCTCGCGCCGGATTTGCCGAAGGACAGAAAGTCAAGGTTTGAGCCATGAAATGCTTTAGTGTTAAAAAACGGGATTAAGACCTCTTTGATTTTCGTTGTAATAAGTCTGGCCGTTCAGGTAAAACAGCCTTCCAGAATAATATGTTTAGTTTCGGAGTTGCTTTCGGAAATTGAGCTCCTGGGAATAGCATTTGTGATATGACGTGTCGGAAATTTGATTAATATTTATAAAAGTATATATATTACATAACATCAGTCGCGGTATTCTTTCACAGTAATCTAGGAAAGTCGGGGATAAAACATCAAAAGAAATTAAGGAAAAATACATCGAATGAGAAGATAGGGTTGTGTATGTAGCGCCAAATAAATCCCCAAAATAAATACTTCAGTCAACCTACGACATTGATTCTAACTCCACCGAATTTACTGGACATCCTATCTGGGGGCGCTTGGTCACACATTCATACCAGATCGCGAATAGGTACTCCGTTATGCGCATCCCTTGCAACTGCTAATCAGTTTAGATCAAACGCTTCTCGTAATAGTGATAACTTTCCGAATATAACTTTGAGCCCCTTCTTTTCTGACCTTTTATTTGACTGGGTTGGTATGCTTTGACTGTTAAGGTGTTACATTTAAAGACGTTGTCAAACTCCGAATGCCTGTGGCATCTTTCGAGGTGAAATCGACGTGATCTGCTACCACAGACAGTGAAGTGTGAGTCTATTCCTTGTTGGGACATTTTTTTATTTTCACATATTGTGATATCGTTTTCATATTTTTCCGATATTTCTCCTCATCAACCAGTATATATTGTATTCATAATAATAATAATAACAATAATAATATATTTCTGCATGAAGAGGTACACGCCATTTTTACAGGCATGGTCTACAAATTACAAAATTTGTTGGCTCACAGTATGCTTACCGACTTATTAAGTTTATAGTTGTCATAAAGTAGACTCGTAGGGCGCTTGCTGTAAACCATGACCTTGAGGAGACGCGAACGTCAAGTTAGTGTCTAGACGTCAGAAGTTCCATAGCTGTGCCCCCAGAGCAAGATTCTGAAGAAAAAAGAAAGAGAAACAGAGGAGCAGCAACGCACTTGGACGTGAACACACAACGTTGCTCAACATTTTGTAGTAAAACAGAGAGAGGTATAATAAATTAGATCAAATTCATATTATCTCTTGTTAGAGCGAAATGAAGTCAGAGGCTCCATATTAGAGAATGTAATAGTAAAGAACAATTAGTTGTATCGTTTAACAAGTTGGAGTAAGCTCACATAAAGGAAGGGAGGTCAAGGTTGATACAAGGAAATTTGTCTATTAGAGGGGAGTGTGCATATAGAGGGTGAACTGCTGAGAATGCTAATAACTATATCTTTTATTGTCTAATTTTTTTCTTTTTTTGTCCATCCGATGCCAGCCGCACAACCCTAGTGTAAAAGTCCGAGTTAGCATGTTATAGGTTGTCTTAGTAGAATGGATTATCCAGCATAAAATCGGAAACAAGAGTCTGAGTGGTGAGCGTAAGAACACAATTCATACCACAGAATGATCGACTTATCCTCAATCATAAAGAGCCTGATACAAACAATGTGTTCTGCCCCACAAACATGGGTGGATTGAAGTCATCGCCCTCACCATCAATGCTTGCTGTTCAGTAAATCCACCCTCCCTCCTTTTGTGATGTTAGGAACATTCAAGCTTATTTTTGGATATATGTCATGCCTCACACAATCCTCTGTATTTCATGATGGAACAGACACCTAAGCTGTTAAAGACTAAGACTCTTTTGCGTCCCACATTTCAAAGCATGCCAGATCATTTTGAAGCCTGCTGCTACTTCTCAGAACCTACTGCAGACGTTTACTACTCACTGTTTATCTTAAACCAGCTATCTGACCTAATGATTGTAACTCATTCTTTACCAGAGTCATTCAACAACTTTAACAGAGCTCCACTGTGAATGTACATCGGTGACTAGAGTATTATTTACTTACGACTGCTACAATTTGTGGAGCATAGACTATCAACCAGGACCCTCCAACCAACTCTGGACTGCGCCCTCCACTCCAACTGTTTCTGATCACTATCCACTCTTTTGATGTCTGCCTCCTCTTCCCGATGCAATGTGTTCTTAGGTCTTCCGCTTTCCCTTTTCCTTTCAGAATTCCAAATTAGTGCTTGTCGCGTGATGCAGTGTGATGATTTCCGCAAGGTATGTCCTACTCACCTCCAGCGTTTCTTCTTAATTTCCTCTCAAGCTGAAAGCTGGCTTATTCTCTGACATAGTAAGTTGTTCCTTATGGTGTCTGGCCAGAGGATATAGAGCATATTTTGGAAACAGCTGTTTATAGATACGTGTATCATTATAGTGATGATTGTAGTTCTACAAGTTTCAGCTCCGTACAATAGGACTCTTTTGATGTCTTCACTGAAAATTCTGACTTTGGTGTTAGCTGATGGTTCTTTTGAGTTCCAGATGCTCGTCAGTTGTAGGAATGCTGTCCTTGCTTTTCAGATCCGTGCCTTCACATCTGCATCAGTTCCTCCTTGTTTTTCAATGATGCTTCTCAAATACGTGAAACTTTCTACATTTTCCAGAGCTTCTCCATTAAGTGTGATTGGGTTGGTGCTCGCTGTATTGTATTTCAGGATTTTGCTTTTCCCCTTGTGTATGTTGAGACCTACTGATGCAGGAGCTGCTGCTACACTGACCGTCTTCCCCTTCGTTTGTTCTTGTGTATGGAATGGAAGAGCTAGGCGATCTGCGAAATCCGAATCGTCTGGTTGCAGCCAAGCTGTTCATTGTATTCCATGCTCCCCGTGAGATGTGGAGGTCTTCATAATCCAGTCGACAACCAGAAGGGAAACATCGTGAGTAGGCAACCTTTTCTGACTTCAGTTTTTGCTCTGAATGCATCTGTATTTCGTACGCACTTTACTTCTTAAAGATAAATTCACATGGTGATTTATAGGTTTCCAAACACCCACCTTAGACTTATTTTTTTAACATTTTATACAAAGTCCCCAATTGTTAAAATTGACACGTCTTTATGCCCCGATCATACTTTATGAAATTTAACTATTCAGTTGACAGTTGCTATCTGTAGAATTCCTTGTGTACCTACGGTAACTTATTTTAGCATTTGTCCGGTTAATAATTAACATTGTCTATTTACCTATTTGTCCCATTTTGTTAAACGAGCTCTCTACTCATTAAGCTTCCATATTGGTTAGTAATTCCTGTATGGGAAATATCATTTTGTTTCGCACCATGTAAAGGGTGTAAGTCTGTTTTCTCCGCGTTTAACAAATGTGTACTTGACAGAGTAAAACCTTTTTCTTCTGAACTCCACTCTTCTTATCCACAAATATCACTATCACTATGATTTTCCGTGAAACAACCCCTTTATCTATTTATTCTGTATGCCCATCACTATTATTAACTAATGAGAAAACTCAAAACTTAACAAACCAAGGCGTCTAATACTCTTTCTGATATGCACCGAAGTACTGATTTTTAATGTAGATATTTAAGGCAGTTACAAACTTTACTACTGAAGTTAACAATAGACCTGACCAGTTAGCCCGCCTCATTTATGTGCAAGCCCTACGTAATAATAAAAACTTCGAGAAACTCACTAAAGCAGAATAAATCTCATGATTTTCAGCTGAAGAGGTAACGAAAAAGGTAATGCCTTCCTATAATGCTCTTGCCTACAATCTCCTTTATTGCACACTGCACACTAACCTGAGGGATGTTTGCCTCGGAGAATGTGGTATGTTGAACGTCAAGTGACACGTCACCTGCCTTAGAAAAGATTATTAGATAAATCTGCACGCGTGATCCTGTCCAAATTTAGCTGTTGTAAAGATGCTAGATAATTTATTAATTCGAGGGAAAATATAAGCACATTGGTTCCATTTAAGAACAAAAAAGTAACTCTGAGTCTAAGACTTTGCCAACTTCTTACAAAAAAACGTGAAGAGACAGGATCAAAAGATCGTGGCATTGTAAATAACCAACCATAGGCAACTTAAGAATCTGTAAAGAATACCGAACACATTTGTCATGAGCGTATTTTGGATACACAAACGGTAGACCACTCTGTAGATGTGGATGAGTCTTCCACCCAGAAATGCAGGTTGTTTACGCAGCAAATTACTTGAATATTAGTCATGTGATGACACGACCAACTAAACTTTACCAAGTAAAAAACTACTCCTTCAATAGGCATTACACAAGGTAACGTGAATGAACGTGAATTCATCACACAGAACACTTCTAGGACACCAAGAAACTATCCAGCTCTGTGAACGAGGAATCAACAGACGAAATACAGGACATAAAATAAGAAAAGAGGCAAAGATGAACCCAACATCTCCATCGCTTCCAGTAACATTGAACAAATTCTCTCTCTGATATCATGTAACCTGCCCCCAACTTTTCTAATTAGCTAGAGATGTGACAGGCAGAAGCGTAATAAACCCTTGAACAATGATGATCACCAAAGTGCTGGACATATCACCCACTCACTGAAGCGCATAAATGTTATTAATTGTGGTAATGATAGACTTCCCGCCCCGCAACCCATTTTACAAATTAAGTATTCAGTGTATGATTCTCAGATTTTACTAAGATGTTCTGTAATTTTGTGTTAAAATACATTTGATTGGCCCCACTTGTGTTTGTAGAATTATGGTCTACTATGATATTAGTACTGCTCTAATAATAAACCTAATCCTAAACTTGTCGATTTGTCATGATATAACTGCCTAATCTATAAGATCTTACGTGGAAGTCACACCATCGACTACACCAACTCACTGTATCGTATCAATTACCAATACATGATGAGGAACAAGGTTAGGCAAGAGAAAGAACAATATATTTAATATGAATAGAAGATATGAAGTAACACTAAGATGGACCACGTCTGCATGGACGAGCCATGCCACTCGATCAACTCCAGTCCATTCAATTCCTTGTTCGCGCCTTCTCCATTGTTAGGTATTTCTCCGC